TTATGACTCTCAAATAATTTTTAAATTGTTGCGAGGGACAGAATTGGCTCCCCTGTCTCAAAAGTCTGCTGACCCCTGGCTTTGAACAAGTTTCCTTTCTCACTCATACAATATTTCAGCTTTTAAATGATGGTGTGCTGGTGAGGCAGTGGGTTAAGCATTGCACTACTAATCTCAGGGTGACTGGTTCAAACCCACTACCTGCTCCATAGGAGAAAGATGAGGCTCTCTGTTCCTATAAATACATATGGCTTCTGAAACCCCATTGAGTCATGCTGCTTGGTCCTGTAGGCATGCCCGGAGTCGGGGTTGACCTGATGACGGTGGGTCGGTTTCATTTTCGACTCTAGCTTGCGATCTGCGTCTCTGGCTTTTTCATTCATGGCACCAAGATGGAAGATCAGACCCAATTTAGAGAATGCTGACCTGGTGGCACAGGGTATGAAGGGAAAGAGAGGTGGTAGAAGTCTTTTAAAGTTTATCTTTGGCACAGAAATAGTTAACATCCCATATAGTCAGTTGATGGAAGCCTGTCATATTAAAAAGCCTAGTGTCAATGGGGAAGAGAAACACATGCATCCTGCGGGAAGTTGTAGTAAGTGGGTATTTATAGTTGTAGCAAGTGAGAATGCACAGGGAACCCCAGACAAAAACAAACAAGCTAAACTCACCGCTATCATGTTGATGCCAACTCATAGTGAACGAATAGGACAAGGTAGAACTGTCCCTGTGATTTTCCGAGATGATCATTCTTAATAGGAGTAGAAAGCCTTGCCTCTCTGCCTCAGAGTGGCTGGTGGTTTCAAACTACTGACCTCACAATTACCAGTCCAATGCATAACCACTATACTATCAGGGCTGCTGCACAGGGAAAGGAAAAGAAAATGATAAGGAGCAATAATACCAAGTACCATAGAACATCAGCATTATTCCTAACCACATTACCCATAATCACCCATGAGCTACAATGAATTTCCTTACACTCTACTTTTGCCCACCTTCCTCAGGCCTCTTCATTAAGCAGGCTCCTCAGTCTTTCAGGGGTCAGCTCAGCCTTTTAATTTTATGGAAAGTCATCCCTGACTGGATTAATGTGCTGGCATGTTTTGGATGCTTTACTAGGTTGTGTGTGTGTGTGTCCGCGTGTGTATGTGGTGCTTGCTTGCTTAGCTAAATCCTTGAGGTTATTAGCACAATTAAATAATATAGAGTATCTATTTATGTCACTTTCTTTTTATCATTTGGCTTTGGCCAAGGTCTTCACAGAAGAAAAATTACTTGTGTACGTATGAGCGATCATATGCAAGTGTCTGATCAAAGATGTGAACATTTACCTCTCCCTTCGTATGTGACTGAAAAGTGCAATACGGATTGTGAACTAAGGTAAAAGTGAAATCATGTCTAAGGTGACTAACTAGTGAGTAATGTTTTCTATTTTTGTCAGGTGTGGGTGAATCTGTTCTAATTCATAGGGACCCTATGTGCAATGGAAGAAAACACTGCTTGGTCCTGCGCCAGCCTCACAATTATTGTTATGTTTAAGCCCGTTGTTGCAGCTACTGTGTATAGAGTAGTCAGCTCATAAACCATAGGTGACGTGTAAAACATCTTACGCAGT